ATAATCAGTATGCTTAAACGGCAAGCCCCTTTCAGAAGGTTTGTAGGAAACAGGGGCATGGGGACTTGTTCAAAAAAATTGTAGGTAACGATCATCAACAACTGTTAGCTTCCTTCAAGAGAAGATTGATATGGTTAGATTCTACATTCGCAGATTTAAAATTGTATTCGTCAAGTCTCCAATCCTGCAGAACAGCTTGTGCCTTTCATTAGATAAATAATCAGCGTTCTTCAAGAACTACCTCATCGTCTTCAGAGGACTGACTGTCAGTCATTAACATTATGAAACAACTTCTAAAAGTCTCTTAGCTAGTTTCCAAAAGAAGTATCTATCTTCTCCTTACATGAAATACAACAAGGCAGTGATAAAGATGACTTTTGTCATGACTTCTAGCTTCTACTGTTAGCAAGTCGGATTCAATGTTCAAACAAGAATATCTACCACAGACCTGATAAACTCCTATATTATTAATGTTTTGACTGTTTAATACTGTTGCATGGAGAGTAAAAAATTTCTTCTCATGGCTTTTGTGAAGCAAGTATTTTTTTAATTATTATTATTTTTTTTTTTTTTAAGTTTCTGCATAGGTATTAAAACATCTTCAGTTCTCCTGTCAGAAATTAGCTATTCTTTCTGTTTTGATTTATACAGTATTTCTTTTTCATTAACATCAGATAATATGAAGAAATATGAAACATGGTTAAGATACGAAGACATTTTGCTAAAAAAGAAGGAAGCTACTCAGGGCATCTCAGATCTTGTTCAGCACAAAGAAGCTCTTAAGATGTTTCCAAACAAATGGATGTCAGTGAATATGTGCAGCTGCAGTTAGTGATTTTCACAGAGAGTTTAAAAGCATCCTCCTTTCTGTATAAACATTTATTTTACAAACTAGATGTCTATACGTAGGCTAGAGCTCAAAGGAACATCTTATAAAGTGACAGAAGAGCTAAAACTTAGAAACATCTACACCAAGATTTTCTGCTTGAATTAGGTGGATGTATGTACTTAATCCTCTACTGAGCTGATGGGGTTCATGCTTCAGAGATGTATTTAAAGTAAAGTTACCTAAAGTAACAATTAAAAGAAATTTAGAATTAATTTAGAACGCTACACTGAATGATCTACTGTGCTGAGGAGTGGAAGAAAGAGGGCAACTTTCTTCTGCTTCCAAGTGAGGAATGAAATCAACTGCTCAACATCCTGTCTGTACTTGAATGCCAACTCCTGTCTTGCTACAGTGCCTCAAAGATCTTCCCACAGAAGCATGACTTTGCTAGCATTTTAGGCTGTTCAACTGCATTTTACTTCAGCTGAATGTAATTTGAAGAACATCTGCACCATCAACAACCAGACTGTGTGGTTGTCTGTAGCTCTGCTGTTTAGGACCGTTCATGGAAAGACACCTATAGTCTTCTAATGTAGATCAAGCTCACCTGTGGAATTCAAAATTCTAAATATCTTTCGTGTGTTATTTGACTGGTAGGCAGGCCTGGAGTGTCTGTATCACCTAAACCAAAATCATAGTCTTGAATATTATTACCTACAATAAGTTGCCTGTAAAGCAATTGTAATAATTTCTACTGTTTTTTGGTCATACTAACTGTGCTGATGCAAAGCTGCATGAAAGCATGCTTTCTTTTTTCCTAGAAGAAAGGAAAACAAATGCATTTCCAGCTCTATGAGTATCTGTAGGATCATATATATGTAGACTACAACCTGCACAGCCCTTCCTGACATTCTCAGAAATAGATTATTTATCATACTGACACTGAATTTTTTCCAACTATCCAAACAATCTCATCTGCTACACAGTGAACTAATTCCTTCTCATCAACCAAAAAGAAAATGCTCTAGTATTATTTATATACCGTAGGCAATTCATACTTCCTTTTTTCCACTGCTTCACTCTAAACTAAATTACACAATATATTGCATTTTGTCTTCTCCTCTTGCCCTTCTGTTACACACCTCTGTATCTTTCTCAAAGGTTTGTTTCCAAAACTGGACATTGTACACAGTATGAACATCAGCTTATGCGGTGAATAAAGAGCATTAAAATCTCTAATCAGCTTTCTAGTTGAACTTCCAATCAATATTTTAATGAAATTCAACTTTTCTGTAATTAACTACAAAATGTGATTGAAATGTACAATGCCCAATGCTTCCTTCTCCCACAGCGACTCAGTAAACTCCATGTTTTATGTTTATTTGATACACATTTTTCTCAAGCAGTATTTCTGTTTATTTTCATTGACAGAGTAGGATACATACAAATAGAAAGAAACGTTCAATATCCTAGTTTGTGAAGTACAGTATTACCAATGATGAGAGAACTGAATGCAGATGAAGTTTACAGAGTCCATACAGCTCGAGCTGATAACTCATTTGCAAAGAAAAAAACAACAAAAACCCCAAACTTACCCTGATAGTTAAGCACAGTAGATAAAATTCAGATATTAATTCCCAAGCCCCACAATGCTATCAGTGCAGAGTCTCATTTCTGTGTAAAGCCACACTTTCAGCCCTGCAGAAAAATCATCCATTTTGATAGCTTCCTACAATAACAGAAGAGACATTCTGTCTGCAATGGAGCTAGAAGTGACAAACAACAAGGAAGATGCCAATGCAGTCTAGAACACTATCAAACAGCTAACTCTCACAAGAGATAGACACCATTCAAAATGCATTTTACATGATGTATTAAGCCACCCTAATATAAAACCAAACTTTTTTTTGCTATACTATGCTCTGTGTATGTATTACACTATATTTCTACCTCAAATGCTTGCCTGCTATTAATGTGATTTCCTGTTAAAAGTATACACTAATAATATATTTGCATGCTAATCAGCCCAAATCCTTTTGCACTCTTTGTTAAACTACTTTATTAATGTTATACATTACAAATGCAATGCAAACCTTTAGAGAGACAGACTCACTTAAAGAGAGAGCACCAGAATTTCTTTATGAAAACCTGATTACAATGAAAAGAGACAGTTGATCTACAAAGTGAACAAACACCAAATAAATCCTAAACTGTAGAAATTAAACTGTTAAGAGGAAGAACATTGTTATTTCAGCTATCACTATAGGTGAAAATTTTAGCCAAGTTCTCTAAAGCTTTTAATTATACTTCATTTTATTTCAGAAAAGGTTAAACCATATTTCCAACTGACACTGTAATTCTTCAGCCCTATACTGTCCTTTTGCATTCCTCCTGCATTACAAAGGATTCAGAAATCTTGGCACCTTAAGAGTCAGCTACAAAAGACTGGGCTGAAATTATAGTCTTACCTGTAAAGTTTCTTTACCTTTAAAGATTCATTCATGCAATTACACATTTTGCAAGATCTTTTAACAAATACTCAGCAGTAAAGGGTAAGAGTGTCTACTTGGAAAGACAAAACCAAGTATATATACTTCTAATGGGGGTTGCCCAAAGAAGCTATGGATACCCCATCCTTGGTGATGTTCAAGGCCCTCTTGGATGGGGCCTTGGGCAGCTTGATCTACTGCATGGCAACCCAGTCCACAGCAGGGGACTGGAACTGGATGTGCTTTAAGATCCCTTCTAATCTAAGCCATTCTACGACTCTGCAATTCCAGAAAGAAGCATTTGTTGCATTCAGCAGTCCTTGAGAACTAGCAGATGCTTTCTGACTTTATTCCATCTTTCAAAGTGAGTGATAAAAAGGGCACTTTGAAGTCACTTAAGCTTCTGTGGTACACGCAACAGAAATACGCTGAATTTATTCTGTAGATTACAATAATCTATTACAACGTTCTTCTTGTATGTTATGGTCAGGAAAGGAAGCTAGAAGATTTTCATCATTTTTGTAAATGGCAAGGAAGGAAAATCATCATTCAACACAAAACACAATCCATCCTTTCTGAAGGGTGCACAGGCGCAAAACCAAAACAGAGTAGCATAGTAGCCCGCTTGCAAACTACATGTATAATTATCAAAGGGAAAATAAAACACCTCAAAGACAAAATTTGGTTGAAAATGAGGTCATTTGAATTAGTCTAGATTTTGACACTTAGATAGTAATTACTAAAAATGTACTTTTTGCATTCAGTCAGTCTCAAGCAATAATTAATTCTATTTGTTCACTGTACTTTCATTAATAATCAAAAATTAAACAGTACGTAGAAATTTTCCAAGAATGCATGTATGTACGCATGTATGTCATTTATCAAGATGTCAAAACAAATTCTGCATCTACCTCAATTACTAAAAATCCCCTGTAACTGAAACAAGAATGTGCACTGCTAGCATAAATGCCCATCATGTTAGGACCAACTGTAGAACGCGCTATCACTCTTGCTAAGGAGATGTAAATTTTTCCCCTTCTTCCCTTTCTTTCCCAACAGTTAGTATACTTGCACACAGTAGCAAGCAAATTTTCAGCCAGTACTAAAGTTAATTGGAGAAAAAAAACAAAAGTTTGACAAAATGTCAAATCTTGCTCAGAGCTCATGAGATTGAGGTTTATTTTAGAGGAAGATATCATACTAGGATGAAGACCACTAGTCTTCCAGTCTTCCATGAGTAAAAAAAAGATCATATGCTTGTACATTCAAAATAAGTAGCAGAAAAATAAATGAGTATCAGTTGTACGTAGAGATAAGTGGCAATAACATAATTACTTCATAATCTACTAATTTATATGTGGTTCAGTCTTCAACAAAGACAAATGACTTTGTATATGCTCTTTCTCCACAGAAATACCAGCATGCACAATCTGTTACCTCTGATGAATGCTCTTTGTACCCTTTGCTGTAAATGCTCACTTGATGTTAGTCTATGATCAGAAGTAGGTAGAAAACATGGTTTTAATAATATGTGCCTGTATTGAAGTCTAACAACTTGGCAAGCATATTATCATTAAAACAGTAAGTGAACTTCATTATAATACTACTGATATAATTACAAAACTACTCACAATGATATCATGAAGTTTTTCTTTGCTTAGCAATAAGAGCCAGATACTCACAAAGAAGGGTCCTGGACCAGATCTTTAAGGTTTATCCCACTACGATCCTCGGCAAGGTTCCTGAAGCAACTGTCACTCACTAAAAAAAATAGAAATAAAATTAAAACAAAACAAAACAAAACAGAGAAACAAAAGAGGTGGAAATTTAAAAATGAAATATGGCTCTATTGATTAGTTAATAAAGTTTTTTGGTGTTAAGTGTAATTTGACATTCATATATAAGGTCTGATGTTCAGTCACATTTCAACAAATTTTAAGGTAAGTCATCTCAATGGAAAGTGATAAACAATCTATCACAATATATAAAGAAATAAATGTTTACAAGCTGATGTCCTTAACACTTCTACATCTCTGGGTAAAGTATATTTCAAACACGACACTGTATGTGGATACTGATAGACCTAATCCTTAATCATGCACAGCTCTGTATTCTTTAGCTAATCAGGAGTGAGTTGCTATGTTTTTAATCAACATACAAAGTTCAATAGCTATATTTACAGGAAAAATTAAAGAAATTGAAAAAAAAATTAAAAGATAATAATGTATTTTGGTTTTCTTCATTACATTAATGTGGTCATTACGCTCTGAAACTCCTTTATGTTTGCTAATTATCTCAGCACAGGTATTCTTTTCAAACATGTACCCACTTCTCTCAATAGGACAGTCAAATTTGTGAGGTGGAAATAAAGTTGTAGCACAAGCACTGCAATAAATCAGCATCAGGTCAAAGAAATTATAGGTTTTTATGATTATACCAAGACTTTCTGAAAAACAGAGGTTGTGACGTGACAAAAATCAACGTAAAGAACAGTTTCCCCTAGTAATTGAGATAACCTGCCAGACTGAGTAAAGTTCATAAGAAATGCAATACTGCTCACTTTCTGATTTAGAACACAGCCTCGCTTATAGTTGATGAAAGGGAATGCATTTAAAACCATCTGCAAAAGCATGTGTTCCTGCTGCTCTCTAAATGCGAGAGACTCTCTCTCTGATTTACATCTATGAGTATTCATGTGCACCATCAACATTGTAAAAAATGCACATCATTCCTAAAATATGTTCTTTATTTGCACAGAGTAAGATACACACTGTGATAGCCCTACCCCCTGCTGCCTACACACCTCAGCAGCCCACAGTCTGTCAGGATGATGGTAAAGACAGAAGCTGGAGAAAAAGCCTCCAGAAGGGGCTGGGGTATCTGAGAGAAAGTGCCAACTAGAACTCTCTCCCAGCTAACAGTATATGGCACTAACTTCAAGGTTTACCCTCTCCACACTTCAACACCGTAACAACCAGTGGTTCCAGAAAGCCCTTCAGGGCACTCCTATACCAAAGCCACTAAGAGGCTCTTGTCTTTGAGGCAACTGCCACACATCTTCCATCAAACATCCAGCAGCATGTCCAGGACTCCTGGCTCATTCCTCCAGAGGCAATCTCTACACTAAAATGAAATTTAACTGCAGTGAGCCAGCAAGAGCGGCATAGGGGAATGAAGCTCCCCTTGAACACATTGGGCCTTCAGAAACCTTTAATTTCCTTGTCCACTACTGCATTAAAAAAAATCTCAAACTGCTGAGCTAAAGGAGCAAGTCAGAGATCAGCAGAATCACAAACAGCCTATACTGTAAATTTTATGTGACAAAAACAGTGCCATAAGCTAAGAGGTCTAGCTTGTATTTGTCTCTTGCCAAGTTCAGCAATGAAAGGAAGCACAATATTCTGACTACTGGTTACTGGTTAAATCCTACACGACTGATGTATTGATGCGTCCCTATACAGCACAAATAACAATGGTGGTCAATAATGGTTTTTTTCCACTACTGACAATTCAAGCATTTCTAAAGCATTAAAGATTTAATCTAAATCTGATGCCTTTTTTTCTACTGTTTCCTCCATATCCCCTCATTGAAAAAAATCAACTGAAGACACAGGACAATTGATCTAAAAGTTTCCTTAAATGTGGAAAAAGTAACAACAAAATTATTTCATCAGTAAAAGTACCCATTATTATATAAATCAAGCACTTCATAAAAAAAGATGTGTTTGAAATAAACATTTAAAATGAAAGCCTACATTTGACAATGGCTGTCCTTTTCTTACTGATCTAAGCTTAATTATTATAGTATATATAATACAATTTTTATGAATGAAGATTAAAACCTTTAAGCTTCCCTTTTGTTGGCAAAGTTAGTCAAAAAGACTAACTCAACATGAATCAAGTATATGCACACTTTGAAACAGGTCTCAATTGCATCTCCTCTTTTTCTTTTTTTATTGTAGTAGAGTCAGAACACCAAGAAGCTGCTAATTTGCAAGCGAGCTTTTTCTTAGCCTACCAGGCAGAATCAAAAAACACTGATGCCTCAGCTAAATTTCAGAGATATCAAACCCACTTCCAAGAATCAAGAAGTTCGAGCATTTTGGTTAACATTCACCAAAATAAAATTTCTGAAAAACAAATTTGACTATAATCTCTAGTTAAATCTCTGGCATTGACAGCAACAGGAGAGTTTGCCGTGTATGAAATAACAGCAGAACGGTGCTGGACTAACAGCTCTCACAGGAATGCTTTGGAGCACTTCACCAACCTGCCTACAAGCACAGTCACAGTCACTCACACCCTTGCAAGCTAGCTCTAGCACAGAGGTAAGCACAAATGTTCACAGTAAACATGAGATTGAAACAATCAACCAAAATGGTTAATGCTTTTCTCAGTGCTTTAGAAACTGTAAATCAACACTACGTCTGTTTTTAAAATGGTATACTCTGATGGAAATGCAAGCTTAAAGAAGACAGCAGGCAAAACTGTGTTTGCTGGCATAGCACAAAGGTCAGAATGATCAGATATGATCAAGAGTGCTTAAAGGTCTGAAGGGGAAAAAAAAAAAAAAGGCAGGAGAAAACCACATCACTGCTACAAATTGCACCACATACACAAAGGGCGCATCTAGCTCCTTGTGCTTAAAAAGCAATCTGAGAGAATTTTGAATGCAACATCTGAATGAACACACAGCCCAGGATTTTATTGCCTTGTTTTAAAATTTAAATTATCATTTTTACTTTTTAAGTCCCCAAAGTTTGCAAAGGTGGTTATTTTATGCAGTTTTCATTTCAGATTTAAATGGTTCTGTCCAAACTTTTTTTTTGTTGTTTGTATGAACAAGATTTAAATTTGTCTTTATAAGCACCATTTAAAGAAATCACTTTTCACTATTAAAGTTGTACATATGGTTGACTTCAAAACATAACAAAAGACTGTTTCTTTTGTTTGGGTTTTAGAATGTGAAAGGCAACTGTTTTTTTCCTCAGATGTCACAATATCTTTCCTTAAAAACCCATTCCCCTGCAGACACAGAATTCCTGCCCTATTGGCATACCTTATGAATGTAAAGATGGATGCTCCTACCATTAAAATACATTTAAGGCATCTCAACTGCCCAACTGAACAGTTCACCAGAGATGAATATCCTGCTTGAACCCTTTTTTCTCTGCTACTGTCATTTTTTTCAAGTGACTGCATGTCAAACTGAAAACATACGTAAAAACAAATGGCATATTAGAGAAATTTTGTAGCACCTTCACCAGATCTATTGCAGAAGATAGAAAATTAATTATAGGAGCATACTACTTGCATCTCTGCACACAAATCTTTGTGACATTTTTATAGAATGAAAGAAACTGCTTGTCTGCCTGCAAATTGCAAATGCTTGTAACTGCTACAAAAATATGTTGTTTGTGAGTGGCAAAAAATAATGCAGACTGGTTTCCTGAGAATTCACTATTGGCTAGTGGGAGTCCTTATTGCAAGAAACAACATGAATCATAGAATCGTTTGAGTTGGAAGAGACCCTTAAAGATCAACTAGCCCAACTCCCATGCAATAGACAGGGACACCTACAACTAGATCAGGGTGATCAGAGCCTGGTTCAGCCAGATCAGGGGACTGGAGCACCTCCCCTATGATGACAAGCTGAGGGAGCTGGGCTTGTTCAGCTTGGAGGAAAGAAGGCTGTGGGGTGACCTCACTGCAGCCCTTCAGTACCTAAAGGGAGCCTACAAACAGGAGGGGAATCAACTCTTTGAAAGGTTAGATAACTGCAGGACGAGGGGAAATGGCTTTAAGCTGAGGGAGGGGAGATTTAGGTTGGACATCAGGGGGAAATTCTTTACGGAGAGAGTGGTGAGGTACTGGAACAGGCTGCCCAGAGAGGTTGTGGATGCCCCGTCCCTGGAGGTGTTCAAGGCCAGATTGGATGGGGCCCTGGGCAGTCTGGTCTAGCATTAGGTGGAATGGTTGGTGGCCCTGCGTGTGGCAGGGGGGTTGGAGATTCATGATCCTTGAGGCCCCTTCCAACCCTGGCCATTCTGTGATTCCGTGACCCTGAGTGTCTCTAAGGATGGGACATCCACCACCTCTCTGGGAAACCTATGCCAGTGCCTCACACCCTTTACTGTATCATAGAATTGTTTAGGTTGGAAGGGACCTTTAACATCATCTAGTTCCAACCCCTCTGCTATAGGCAGGGGTATCACCCATTAGACCAGGTCACTCAAAGCCCCATCCAGCCTGGCCTTGAATGCCTCCAGAGTGGGAGGCATCCACAACCTCTCTAGGCAACCTGTTCCACTGTCTCAGCACCCTCACAGTAAATAATTTCTTCCTAATATCTAGTCTAAATCTACCTTTTTAAATCCATTTTAAATCCTGTCACTACATGCCCTTATAGAAAGTCCCTCCCCAGCTTTCCTATAGGCTCCCTTCAGGTACTGCAAGGCCACTATAAAGTCCCCCCTCAACTTCTCTAGGCTGAAGTTCTCCTTGGCCCACTGCTCGTCTGTCTAGGTCTCTATGGACAGCATTCTGTCTCTCAGGCATGTTGACTACATCACAGAGTTTGGTGTCATCCACAAAATTGCTAAATGACTCTCATCACTGATCTCCACTCAGACATTAAGCCACCACTGCTCCCTGGGCACAATCTCACAACCAATTTCTAACATGTGATAGGAAAACAAAGGAAGATAAATGCCACTTTCACAAGCTATGAGATGAACTTTGCAGATGAAAGATATTACACT